TCCTGGCCAAACGGCCGGAAAACACGGCCGAAACCCAGCGGCGCCGCCGCGTCCCTCCTCGGTTTTTGCCTCCGATGAGGCCCTTCCTGGCCTCCGTTTGATGCAATTTTTATATCACCGTGATGACCATTCTTTTCTCTACAGGTTGATCGGAGCCGAATCACCAAAACACGAACCTCACCGGAGAGCCGCCGCACCCGAGAGCACCGCCACCGGTAAGCTTAGGTTTTTCGTAATTTTTTGGCCCCCTGAGGGCCCTAGGGTTGTTTTATCGCAGGGACCGATGCAAGTGTGGCCGAATTCGGCCGAAAACGGCCAACCCGAGGCGAATCACCGTCGCAAGCGGCGACGCCGTCGCCGGAGCACGGCGGAGCCGCCGTGCCGGAATTACGATATTGGCCGAAAGGGGCCCTGGGCCTAATTTGAGATTTTTTGGAACACGTGCAGGTACCAGTAGTGCGTTTCAGTTCCCTGGAAAAAATTCAGGAAAGATTAGGGACAGCCTGTAGGCGCACTGTGAAGCCGTATTCGGACCCCGAAACGAGTAAGGACCCCTCACCCTATTTCCTATCACGATATTAAAGTTCAATAATGATAAAACGGAAATTCTTGAATCAACGAATGTGTGAAATTGCTTAAGTTCACCAATGGAGCCCGAGTCTAGTGTGTTAGTCGGTTAACTGTTATTTGGCATATTTTACAGTTTTAAATGCAGTATGAGGTCTGATGTTTTCATTTCATTGTTTCGTGTGCATATTTTACTGTTTTATTGATTATGGGTTGAATGACTGAGAAACCGATGCTGTATGTTGTCTTGTTTGACATAAATTACTGTTTTGCTTGTCTGCGTGTGAATTGATGATGCTGACTAAGGAAAAGGGGAATGAAAGGTTATGTAAATTGATAATTGTATAATGTGATCCGCCTGACTAGATATCCTGGGAGATGGTGGACGGACCGGGTCCGTAGGGAACCCTACCGGGATTGTGGTCTCTCATACCGGAAGGAGTATGGAGACCCTATGTGTTTTGGCGCCCATACCGGACGGGGTATGGGGACGACCCGTTTCACCCTCATACCGGACGGGGTATTGAGGTTTATAGTTTTGGCGCCCATACCGGACGGGGTATGGGGACGGCCCTGGAATCTGATTACAAGTGTTAAGGGTTCACGGGTAGCGGGACCCCTATAGATCCCCATGGATACTAGTAGGCTGGTAAATAAGGAAAAATATGTTGTGTAATGATTGAATTACAAAAGGTGTGATAAGTATTATGTTATACAGTTTATATGATTTCATGATGATGATAATGTTATTGCTTTCGTATACAGTTTTATGAATTGCACCGGGCTAGTGTAGCTCATTCCTTATTTAATCATTTCAGATCAGGAAGACATTGTTCCCGAGCCCGTTCCGCAGGAAGACGATGAAGGGGACGCCTAAAGACTCCATAGTCATATTCATAGCTTTTACTTTCGAGTTTCTCCTTTAGTTAGTTTGATCTTTTATATTTTGATCACGTTTTTATTTTTAGTGTAAGGGATGTTAATCGAAATTTTGACTTCGCTTCCGCATTTGACATTTTTAATACACATATTTCATTTTAAATTTCCGGGGCCGTTACAGGGGGTCGATAATTATTCTGCTCCAAAGTGG